GGTTGACAGAGATACCTTCCCTGTGTATTTCCCTTTTTAGTCTATGGTACTCTGAGGACTACTGGAGTTTCCTGTCTCCACCATAGGATCTTCCCACAAACAACACATAAAAGTCTTTAACAATGAATAACAAAAGATAATAGATAAAATAGTAAACTTTTAAATTAAGCATGTTAGCAATTGCTTTAAAAATCTGTACCCTAAAGGAGAGATATAATGTCTCCTGGACATATTGTGAAATATGTAGTAGGTGATTTATTGGTTTTAAATGAATATTCCATTAGTGAAACCTGGAGTATGATGTTCTGAAGAGTCTGATTGTGCTTTTTTAATTTTTTTCCAAGTTTCAAGCACCCGGAAGCCAAATGCTTTTCAAGGAAATTCACATAAAATAGGTTATTTGTGTGCAAGCCACCCATCTCAGTAGATTCAAGAGTTAACTAACATTCACAGAATTCAGAGCAGTTTTTAAATAGCAGTTTTGGATCTTAGGTGAGAACAAAGCCAGCTAAGATCAGTGCATTTCAATATTAGCTAATATTGTCTGGTTTTAATCTTCTTATAAAAAATACTCTCTTGTATGCCTGAAGATATATTTCATTGCAAGCTCCAGTAAATTGAAGGAGACGAGGATATGTGTGTGTTTAGGGAGGGGGAGTGGTGCCAATGGGCAATCTTTTATCTATTTCTTTAACTTTCCTCATTTGTTTCATTTCCCCATTATCTTTTCTTTGATTCCTAAATTATTTCTTTAAAAAAAAAAAAGATTTATTTATTTATTTTAGAAAGAGAGAGAGTGAGCAAGTGGGGGGAGGGGCAGAAGCAAAGGGGGAGAGAGACTCTCAAGCAGACTCCCCACTGAGTGGGGAGCCCAATGCAGGGATTGGGATCCCACGACCCATGAGATCATGACCTGAACTGAAATCACGAGTTGGACGCTTAACTAACTGAGTCTCCCAGGTGTCCCCCCTAAATGATTTCTTATGCCAACCTATACCCCATTAGTACAGAAGATTGATATCATCTACAACCTCTTTCTGAAATATTAATAAAACACACTTAGCTGTACATGAAAAATTATTTAAATTTGCTAATTTTTCCCCTATTTTGTTAGCAACATTTCTCTGTGATGATGTAAATCTAGGGCAACTGCATTTTGGCATCGGGACCCTAAATGTGCTCCCTACTGGGCTGATTACTTGGAGCTAATATAGTGTTCCATTCATTGGATTCCACACACTTCCCCCATATTGATTGCATTATCAGTAGTAGTAATCACAGATATCATTACCAGCCAATTACACAAACACATATCTAAAGTAGGTAACTTACTCACCAACATTATCTCTTACAAGTCTTAATTTTGTAATGAAGCTGATCATCTTGTCCAATTGAGTGTAGCTACATATTCTGGTCTAGTAGGCTTAATGTGAGTGTATTGAATTATGTAGTAGGTAATTACTTACATATGTTTGTAACAACACAAATGAGAGCAATTTGAATGTAATCTGTTTCTTATTCTGTTTGAGGGCTACATTAGAGAAGGTTAACTGCTTTAAAAAATAGACCCAAGCATGTATTTCGATCAAACACAATAGAAGTGTTTTTCCTGCTTATGTAACAGAACTGGTGTGAGAACTAGTACATGGGCATGCAGTCATCCAGAGACCCAGGTGGGTTTCTGACATATTCAGTACAGAGTTCCAAGATCACCCTGAAAGATTCACTTCAGGGAAAAAAATATTGGGGGGCTAATGGGAGAGGTCTATGGGCTAACCCTGGCAGTGATGAGCATTCATGCTCTTTTGGCTAGTCACATGACCACACCTAACTACCAAAAAAGTGGGAATTATAATCTCTCCTAAGAAGTAGAGGAAAACATGGATTTTTGGTGAGCAGTTAGCAATTTTTACCATAAATACTCAAAACAGAACTTGCTCTCTTTCCCTATTTAATGAATATTTTCCTTGGCTTGTCATTATTTGGAACTTCTGTCAGCTTACTTTTCTTTCTTTTTTAAAGGTTTTATTTATTTATTTGACAGAAAGAGAGAGAGCACAAGCAGGGGGAGCTGCAGACAGAGGGAGAAGCAGGGAGCCCAATGCAGGACTCGATCCCAGGACTCTGGGATCATGACCTGAGCCAAAGGCCGATGCTTAACCGACTGAGCCACCCAGGCATCCCTGCTTTTATTTTCTTTACACTCTGTCAGATATCTTCTAAAACCTATATCCAAGCCCTGCCTCTTAGACTTACACATATTAACTGAAGAACGGGGAATAAAAAGATTACAAAGTATTTTTCCAAATTTTTAAACAAATAAAGTATGACCATATTATTGTAATATTTGTTGCAGTTGAAATTATAGACAAGTAGGTTAGGATAAAAGGCTTTGGGGGCTAAAAAAGAGGTCTTCTTTTTCAACCCTCTTATTTCATAGATAAGGAACGTGAGGCTTGGCAAGATGAATTTGTTTAATTCTATGGGAAGTATTAGTAGATCCCAACTCTTTCTCAAATCCAAGTCTCTTCCATAAGATGATTAGTCATCTTCTGTCGTCACATTTCCTATAAAGCCTAAGTCATTGAATAATGACCATCTATTTACAGGAAAGAAGCAAAGCACAATACATTGTAACTGATGTAAGGCTAGTATGTTTAAATCTGCAATAAAATAGATCCCATACCTTTCTAGATTTTCCAAACTTACTTGAAGACCCATAATAAATTAGCTGCTCACTCAAGGGTTTTTGTTGTTGTTGTTGTTGTTTTTACTGCATTATTTTTCTTATTTCTTCAACAAAAGAATAATGGCTTCTAGATAAATCTTCTACAACTCTAAAATTATATAATCCATGGCATGTAGATTATAAATTTATGATCACCATGCCAAGTAATATTTAGAATTAAAAGTTCAGCGGAAACAAATGACAGAATTTGAAATATTGAAAGGTATGTTTCTTTTACGAGGGAAAGCCAAATCATTTTTTTATTAAAAAATTATATTGCCCTGTGCTTCAGTCAGTATGGCTCAGTCAGTTAAGTGTCTGCCTTAGGCTCAGGTCATGATCTCAGGGTCCTGGGATTGAGCTCTTGCTGGGGCTCCCTGCTCCGTGGGGAGTTCGCTTCTCCATCTCCCTCTGCTCTCCACTTGCACCCCTCATGCTCTCTCTCTCACTCAAATAAATAAAATCTTTTTAAAAAAAGTTTGCTACCCACTAAAAAGGCAATATAATATTATTTAAAATATTTATTTTTTAGAGAGAGAGAGCGCATGTGTGAGGTGGGGGGGGTCAGAAGGAGAGGGGCAAGCAGACTTCCCATGGAGCTGGGAGCCTGACTGGGGAGGGGGGAGCCAGGATCACAACCTGAGCCAAAGGTAGACGCTTAACCCACTGAGCCACCCAAGCAGCGCAGTGGGTAGCAAACTCTTAAAAGTAAATGTAACTGTGTTGTTGAGATGCTATGCTACCCTAGCCACAAAGATAAAATTCCTTATTTAATTGTCATTGCCATAGCCTAATTTCATACTTTTTCTGCAAAGATGTTTAAAATGGCAACAGTACAGGAAAAGTGGCACAAGTCTAGATGTAGTCTAAATCATACAAGCTTTAAGAAATTTTGAAATTGTGTGGAAATTTGGGGTGATTCTTGCCATTCGTATTTATAGCCGACATTAACTGTGACTGATGGTTGATCTTATGCCATGAGTGAACCAAAATCATTCGAGTGACACACATCTGGTTTTTTTTAAAAGTTTAAAGAAAACTCAAACATCATCTTCAGAATTGGTTTTTCTTATGAACATCTAAACATGGCTGCAAGTTTACCGTAGAGTAATTTTTGCTTGTCACAGTGAGTAAGAATTAGATAATCTGGCAAACTTATTTTAGGTGAAAATGAGACAAGGCTTTGCTCCCTGCCTGTCCACCAAGCACAAATTAAAAGGCCCGTCTAATTTTGTGATGTTACAAAAGAACAACAGTGTGAAAGGTAGATAAAGGAGATAAGCAGGCTTTGGTTGCTTTCATATTTAGCTGGTCCCCGCATTAGAAGTCTGCATTCAGTTGATTATTCATGTAAAAAAAATCCAGCAAAACACATAGTGTCACGATGTGTATGCATCAGGGACATCGAGGCTAAGACAGACCATCTTTTAATGTACTGTGGATTGTCATCTATATTGCTTTGATTTGCAAGGATTTTATATGCAGTCTCCTGGAGAGTAGAGAGAGACACTTCTTTTTGGATCCTTTTTTGGATATACCCTCTTTAAATATGGGCAACATGTGTTCAGATCATTTTAAAAAGCTACAGTTTCATATTCTCCAAAGAATCTGACATTGGTCCCCAAGGTGACACAGCATCTATTTTGAAAGAAAAATAATAAATGGGAAGAGCCTGTTCTTTCAACTTTTTTGGAATTTGGAGTCTATTAAAATCTAACTGAGGTTTTCATAGGTGTTATGGAAACCATTTCTTTTGAAAAATGTTCAAATTGTAATATGACATAGATACAGTCAAAACCTGTAAGTTGCCTCTTGAGTTTGATTGTTCTTTTGAAAACAATCTGTATTAAATATTATTACACAGAACTACATGAAGAGCAAAGAGAATGCATTAAGAAACTGAAATTGCATTTTAGTAATCAATTATTTTCAATTACATGTGACTTCGGAAGAATTTCTCTGAAGGAAAATACCTAGAGTTGATTTTATTCAAATTCGGGAATTCTTTCCTTTTAAAAAAGTATGCATTCTGATATTTTTGTGTATGTAAATTTTTAACTCTCTAACTCTGTATATATTAAGGCACATGGCATCCTAAGTAGGACTATATTTAAAAAGTGAGTAATTTTATTTTTATAGCACTGAGTATGGCTTCTTTATACTGTGATGAATCTTGCTTTCTGCCTTTTATTTGCATAAGTAAAATCTTCATTTTTGCATCATCATGTATATTTTCTGCATATAATTAACATTAACTTTTTTGACTGTGCAGAGCCGGCTATTTGCCTCAGCATATTCCCCTGGAGATTATCAGATACCTGTCTGAGGAGAAGGATTTTCTTCCTTGGCATGCTGCCAGCCGAGCTCTTTATCCCCTTGATAAATTACTGGATCGCATGGAGAAATACAATGTCTTCAATGTAAAAAGACATATTTTCTTCTTTCTTATTTTCAGATGATGAACTGTTTTCTCATTATCCACTTTATGCAACTGATCCTGAGTTATTTGTATTTCTTCTTCTAATTTGTATTATCATTTTTGTCCTGATTTTCTGTGCAACACTGATGACAATTACTTGAAGAAGAAATGTAATATGAGCTACTTTTTATTCTGGCCTAAAAGTGTCAATTAAACTTAAATGCCTCAGAATTTAAGAACAAATATACATGGCAAATCCTTAAAGTTCAAACTTACTTTCCAAGTGTTAAAGGGCTCTCTGTTCACAAAGGACTTAACCTGGGTAGAGGGATCCCAAGGATCTTAACAGAATATAGACGGTTTCAGTAAAGATTCTTAGCCATTATTTTTATCCAAAAGGGCATAGCGAATTCAATTCACTTCCTTAATTAACAAGGGTAAGATCAACATTGAGGCGAGAGCCCATTCATAATTGGGTCCAAGGGGATACAGGAGAGCAAACAATAGATAATCCAAATAGACACAAAGACATGACAAACATTCCAAAATGTTACCTGACCAGATTTCCTAAGCTGAAGTCTGGTAAGCCAATGCTGCACAGTGGACACCATCTAATCTAATTTAATAACCATTTTGAATAAGTTTAGGATTAAGTATGGCTAATGAGCTTTTGATTCCTAAATTTCTTATCGCCAGTGAGGCTTTGCATATGAGGCTATGTCTTTGTGCCTTCTCTCCCACCTTTGAGCCCAGTTTGGTTCCCTTCAGTTATCTTCGGAGTCTGCCCTGTGTTTTATAAAATCATCCTATGTCTTATGGCACACTGGCTCTGCTAATTAACCTCCACTAATTACTTGAGACTGGATTGCCATGGCATGAAATCTGTTTCTTAGCCTCCTCTACGTTGTCTGATGGCCATCAGAGTTGCTTCTTGTTTCCTTATTCCAAGTCTGCATGCAAACACCTCTGTTTTGATATTTTTTTTAATTGGAATAATCCTGGCTTGACTGTTCATTGTCATTGGCATGGTCTAATCCCTGACAACAGACATGCAAAAAAATGGATTGTTACAGTTCCGGTATAACTTTTCTCTGCTAGAGAAAGACTTCACTTCTCTTTTCTCCTTAACAGAGACACTGCAATGTTAAACTTCTGTAAAAGTAAAATACATTTTTATATATATTTGTACTTTGGAACAGTATTTTGTGTCAGCCACCTCAATTTCAGTAAAAGTTAAGAATTGCTTTTACTGTAATTTCAGTGCTTTCATTCCTTTGACAAAATTCAAGGACCATGTTAAAGTGAGGAAAGCGTATTTTACATTGCTGCTAATATTTAAATATATCATTAGCTCAATGGATTGTTGACTTTGAAATGCCATATTTTTTACTGAAGAGTGTTCTGTATGTGTCAGATTCAACAATGCTAGGCTAGTGGCTGGGCTTACATAACAGTTTTGCTTTAAATGTGCTCTGTTGATGTGAAATGCATAAATGTTAGGTGCTTATTTTCCATAAGCTATATCTACATACATTTTTATATATGTGTGCATGGCTGTCATTGTCACTATTCCTCAGTGTCCTTGTTTTGCTACAAAAATTGTCATCTAAAATAGTGAATAGTGCAAATTATTTAATCATTCAATAGGAAGTAAAGAGTAGACTTCCCCCATTGCAATTTATTTTATCCTTATTTTCTATATTTGAAACACTGAGCTGGATAAAATTAGAGGATTTACCATGCCCATAATTTTACTGATATTTTAAAGTAGGTGCATTTCAAAAATATTTTAATCGTATTATGTAATTGTAATGATCAGCATGGAGAGGTTTGAAACTGACATCATCTTTATTTCCCCTAACCCCCATTTAGGAATATATTTTAAAGCAAGTTGCAGCTACGTACATCAAGCTTGGATGGCCAAAAAACAATTTTAATGGATCTCTTGTTCAAGCCTCCTACCAACATGAGTACTGTTTTATTTTCTTATTCGCTTCTTTTCCCCCAGAGCAGTACAATAACATACGAGTAGTACCATTGAGACTTTGGCAGCATGAGATGATCTTTCTTTCATTCTGCATCTTTCATTTCCCTTTGCTGGGAGGCCTGCTGATGGGCAGCACAGTTTCCACTACCTGGTACTAAGAACAAAAGCATACCCTTGCCATGTTTCAATGTAAGATCTGCCGTTATTGGTAAAGGGGAGATTTGAACCCAGCCCCCTGCCCCCCCCAACTGTATTACTGTTTCCAGAGAAGACTTGTAGTATGCTGAACTTCTCCTCTGCCTAACCATCTCTTCCTCAGCAAAATAGGATTTCTGTATCGGGAAATTATTTTTGTGCTGATTATTTACTTATCTACTGCTTATGTAATGAGTGACCCTTCCTCCCCAGATATTAACACTGCTTTTTCACTGTTTTTCCTTTGGATGGTACCTAGAGAACTCCGGAGAGAAGTCATAATGCTGGCGTGCAGTTTTGGCAACAAGCACTGTCACCAACAAGCATCAACACTTATTTCAGATTGGATTTCCAGCAACAGGAACAGGTAAATGGAACCAAATCCTGTATTTCTGGTATGATTTCATACTGCTTTCAGATTCTCAGTGGATGCATTGCATTTATCAATTGGAGGAAAACAAGACAAGAAAAAAACACTGCAAAACTGTGTTTCACGTTCATCGCTTATGAGGCAACAGCAGAAAAGCCACAATGCACTTAACCTCTGGAGCATGTTGTGGAGTTTTAAACTATCTTAACCTAGGCCCTTATTCTTTATAAGGTGTCAGCTTATTTTGAATTTGGATGGCTTTGCTATTCCGTGAGAATAAAATAATTTTATGTAGGCCTAAGTTTCTTTTAAATGTTGTATTTATTCATAAAACAACTGTAAGCATATGGTATAAGTAAAGTAGTATAACATATGTTAATATTAAAAACCAAAACCCAAAAAGGTTATAGAAAAAATCTACTCTTTTAGTGACCTTTGACAGAGACCTTAAACTTGTATCTTATCTTGGAATTTCACAATACAGAATTTTAATACATAATGTGATGTTAAAATCATTTAATAGAATTACTTTTGATAAAAATATTATACTAAATGTCACTTGTTAATGTTAATGAAAAGAATATTAAACATAAAAAATTGAAGATCATGATCTTTTCACCTAGTTTTTTAAACCTTTTTAGGTATCTTTATATTTCCAAGGACCTTTATGTTCCATTTCTTATTACACTTTGGGCAATTTATAATCACTCCTCCCCAGTCTTTGGCCCCTGTGTTAAGGAGGGTCCGATCAGAAAGGTGAGGAGCTGGAGAACAGTTTACTCAGAAGATGCTATTTTGCATACCACCCTGGGCTTGTCCCGAGCTCAGTGGCTGGGATGACTCCCTGGGAACAGAGAAAGGGACTTGTTCTAGGTGAATGTAGAGAACCACCCAGAGTGTAACCTACTTAAGGTAACTGTTTCTGGTCTTATCCCAAGCTAAGAAGGAAAATACTTTACCACTATCGTCTCTCAGTTGATCCATCATGTACTCAAAGACAGTGATTAAATCTGTCACCAGTCTTCTCTAGAACTATAGCATTCTCCTTTAAACTTTTACTAATGATTATCCTTTTTGCTAAGTCTTCTGAAAACTATTAAATTAAGCTTGGGAAATGTTATAACAAAAACTTTTCCTTTATTCCTACAACCTTCTTCAGTTCTACCACATGTACTTAGGTGATGAACACATAAAAATGTATACAAAACCAATACATCCAAAATTGTATTAGGATACATAATCATAAATACATATGAGAAAAAAAGGTAAAATATACTATTTAAAGATCATGGTCTCTGCCATTTTGTTTTTTATTTGATTAGTCTTTTGTTTGTTTCATCTTGCTACAGACACATGCATTTTCTCAGACCTGACAGTTGCTTTTTAACCCATAAAAGTATAGCTATTGGGAAAATGCTATTTTTTAAATAATTCATTTAGTTAACAAAATTTTACTGAGCAATTCTCAATACCAACTGGTGGCCAGAAAGCAAAGAGAAGAGGGAGAGCTCAAAATTAGTAGAGAGTATATCTCTATAAACAAATAGTTGTTCTTTGAAGCAAGAGCTAAGCACATGACAGGGTGAACAAGAAGGGAGGGACCGCTGCTTTGGAGGAATCACATTCACCCTCATGAGGATGAGCAGGAGCCTGTTGGATACGAAGGACAGGCAGGAGGTAGGAGCAGATGCATGAGTACCTAAGGGGGTTGGGGAGCGGATGGGGATACCAAGCAGAAGGAAGGCACATGGATTGATGTTTCGTTTAACGAGTGTAGTAAATTTCGATTTGTAAATTTGAACAATCCATCACTTCCAAATTCCCTTATACATGAAAGTTTATGTATGAGGTATCAGTTCATTTCGGTTTTGATAACTCTGTCACTTACTTATGGCAAAATAACTAAATTTTGGTCTAATACTTGAAGGTTCTTTCATTCTTTCCTTCATCATTTGTATATTCTCTTCCTTTGCTTTCTTCTGTAACTGGAGAAGTAAACATGTTGAGTGGAACTTTGTGTTTACTAAGATTTGCTCAGCCAGCCATATGACACATCCTTGCATATACAAGTGATCTCCTGTGGTGAGGGTACAGGGTAGTCTCTGAGTTACCTGTGTGTGAGGATCAGGGATTTAACCTGTATTTTTTTCAGTGACAGCTTAATAATAAAACAATAGTGTGATCCTGTAGTTGATGCTGAGTTTAACTTTCTTAAATTGAGTCAATGAAGGGGAGGGTAAGGTTTCTTTTTAAATGTGCCTGAAGAAACACACTGGTCAGTTGCGTTTGTTTGTTTGTTTAACTCTTTCACACCTTAAAAATCACCCTTAAGAAAAGCCTCCCGGGGTAATGCAATAGGATACTTATAAAACGTTTTGGGAGATGCTGCATATGTATGCTAATAAATTTAAAGAACAGTGTGTCACGGAAGTTAGCAGGGATTGTGAATCTGGGGTGCTCTGCTACTTTACAGCCCAATCTTGATATGCTGGGGAGATAGGCCCCATCAGCAAGGTTGGATTTAGGAAGATAGAATGGATGTGAAAGTTGGTGTTGGGAAAGGTAATGGAACCAAAAAGTGCATTGCAAAGCTAGAGATGCTAATAGCAGAGAGAGAAAAATTCAAAAATTACAGTGAATGATAAATTGAATGAGTCCACATTCTGATCCCTGTTAATATATTCAAATGCTACAGTGTGTTGAATTGTAATGGTGATGTCATGCATCAAAACGGATGAGCTACATTCAGGTCTTGTTAGGCTGTGATTTGGGGACTGAGTTCAGCAGAATACCACATCTCAGAAAAAAGACAAATTGCCAAGCAATCAGTAGAGAACAATACAAATGATAAAAAGGTCTCGAAAACACGAGCTGTGAGAGGAGGTTATGAGATCTGAAAATTTCACTCTAAAAAAAAGACATAGAGAGGATGATAGCCTTTTGCATGTATTAAAAAACAATAATAAAAGGGACAGAAATTGGTTTCTTTCACTGATTAGTACAAATAAACAAGAAATAATTGGCATAAGCTTCACTGAGTAAAATATAGGGATTATATTATTACTGTAGGTGAATTATTATTTGAAAATTTCTGTATGAAAACACTACTGAGATTCTACAATTAACTATACAGAGATCACGATATGGTAATATGGGGTTTTTTTAATAAGCAATTTAATCTGAAATTAAATGTGTGTCCATAATAACACAGCCTCTTAATTTTGTGATAATGTATTATTTTTCAAATAATGTTAAAAGATACAATTTAAAGCCTTAAGCCAATATAGAACAAAAATTTAAAGTATTTAATTTTTAGAAAGTATTCAATAGATACTGATATCCATTCCCTAAAGGATTAATTGATAACTGGTATCATCACTGTACTTAAAAACTGTCCTGAAACAGTGGAGTACCTTCTACATTATGGGATATCAAAAATGTATATTGAATCGAAATGTATTAGAAATCATTTTGAAAATGGAAAAATTAGGGGCCTTCCATACTAAAAATTATAAGCAGAGGAGCATCTCTGGAGCTTTGCGACATACGTAATACATAAACTTCACTACTCATGCAATTCATTATAATGTTACTGGTATTGTTGTCTTTAATGATGATCATAATGAAAGATATATTTATTTATTGAGCAGTTAGTACATTTCAACTGCTTTTTGTGCATGATCTCATCATTTTTATTTCATTTTTATAGAAGACAAATCCAAAACTCACAAAAGTTATATAACTTGCCAAGACTATATGACAACAGGCAGTGGATCTGGGATTCCTTTCCCAGACTGCCTGCCCTTCTAACCTGACCGCATGTGATGCTGTGGTGGTATGTCAAATTACCATATATCAGTAATATATGTTTGTTCAAAAATGATTTTAAAAAGAAGGAAGAATTAATTAAATTTTTAATTTTTTAATTAAAAATTAAATCATTTTTAAAATGATTTAAAAAGAAGGTGATTTTAAAAAGGACACCCACCAGAACTTAAATACTCTCTGCAAAGAGTATAAACAATAGTTGAATGCAGGTTGTGCTCATGACATAAGCCCATGGTTCCCGCATCTGGTCAATGTGTAAGAATCATTGAGAGGACCTGTGAAAGGGTTTGCTCGACCCCATCCCCAGTTTTCTGATTCAGTAGGTTGAATGGGGCCTAAGACCTTGTATTCATGACAAGTTCCTGTGTGATGCTGATGCTGCTGGTCTGGGGACCAGTCTTTGGGAACCACTGGTGTAGGGAAAAGCTACTGTCTTCAAAGTCAAAGACACCAGTGATCAAAATGCAGCTGTGCCATTAAATGACCTGAGGCAAATCACTTGGTGTCATCATCTGAAAAACAGCAGTAATATTACTAACCAAACAAGTCATAAGAATTATACAAAAGAGTGCCTATTTATTATTTGCCTTTTATAGGAAATCATAAAACGTGAATCATCTTTGGAGTTGCCTTCTACTTGTTTTGACCATACAGGTGGGTGGTGTAAGTTTTAAATGGGGAAAGTAGGAATAAGTATAGAATAGAGCAGTACAGAACATGTATAGAATGCCCTCATTATTTGATCTTCTCTGTAAGTTTGGGAGTTATAAGCGTGTGACCTGTAATATAAAATATAAAACAAAGTATTACCATAGGGATTCTCAAATAGGAGCATGGGGATGTTTGCCCTTTTCTTCCTGCTTTAAGAAATACTGCTTGGCTTGGCCTCTAGGTAAAATGTTTCTTTTTCTTCCCTCCCCTTCATCTGCTGCTCATGTCCCTCCATCTGCCATATCTCATTGTATCTCATAGGTAAAGAGCTCCAGTTCAGCTCCCTTCCTTTGTGTCTCTCTCTGCCCATCAATATTTGCTTTTCTTATGTGAAAACACAAAGGAGGACAGACAAAAGGCTCTTTTTGTTATAGTCTATATTTCTGGTTCAGAAACCTCATGTTTTCTTCCGCTAAAAACATGGATCCTAACTTACTGTCCATGTTCCCGAGTTATTA